TAAGAAGTCACACAGACCAGGGATGGATTTTTAAACAATAAAAAGAATAAGGTTTATTTTAAATACACACAGGGAAAATAAAACAATCAGGTGAATAAGATAAAGTAACGTGGCTTATTCTCACTCATACATACACACAGTTTGGTTCACCCAGAACCCTTAACTTGAAGCACAGACCCTGAACCTATCAGTTCTGGCTAACCAACAGACACCTGAACCTATCAGGTTGGTACTCTGACACACAGTAGTACCCTGTCTGACACACAGACTCCCACAACAGCTTCTTCTTCCCAGCTGCTGCTTCGTCACAACCCAGTGTCTCTCAGCATCTCTCAGTGTGTCCCCTCACCACACAGGCATCACATATTTATACAGTCCAGCCCCTCCTCCTGATGTCCCGCCTTCCACTCCCCATAGGATGGAACTTTCCCTCCAAACCCATGACAGACAGGTAACATCAGTGCTGTATGTAACACTCATTTCACCAATCAAGGAAAAGGGTAAATGAATGTAATCAGCATCAAAAGAGCTATTCCCGTTTTTAAAATTGTGACAGTTTACAGCAGAGTGTGCATCTCTAACAGATGCAGTATCCTGTACTGGAAAGGAAGTGATTTGTTAGGCTGTCTGGAAAGAACCATGAAGTTCTTACCATTTTCCATGCCTCGTACATTCCATAAATCCTTGGTCTAGCGGTGTAGATTCCCAAGCACTTAACATATTTTCCCTCTGGTGTGTATGATCATTTGCTAAACATGACACAGGACTTGATCTTGATAGAAATCTTCATGTGCTTTCCATGACTGCCTCACCCCTCTCCTAGAATTTCAAAAGTAAATCACTTCTGACAACTTTGAATCATTCTATGAAAACTTTCTAAGGATTAAGCAAATGTTCTGCCTCTTCTCTGACAAATGGAAAGCCCAGCTGAAACAACCAGCTTCTCAAAGTATCACTTTGATTTCAGTCATTTTATACAGATACAGAGAACTAACCTGACATCAGAACTTGATAAAAATAATACACCATCAACCAGAATATAATCTTTGTAACAGGACCAGAGAATAGGTAAGAGATTTTTTGGAAGAGGGTGGGACAATCAATCAACTGACCAACCAACCAACCAAACAACCAATCAATCAATAAGGTAAACCAGATGCAAAAGATTGCGATGGTGATCACAATCAGCCTGTGCTACATATATTTTTTTTGGGGGGGGAATTAAGAACTGAAAAAAGGGCACAACCTGACATGTCTTAATCATAAGCAGAGATAAGGATTCTGGAAAATTCCAGGAGTAAACAAAACTACTTTGCAGTAAACAAAACTACCTTTTCTAAGCTTTGGTATAGCCTAATAATTTAGCAGGCCCTCCCACAATAATCAAAAGAGACCAGAACATAGATTGAAAAAGTTGCTTTTAAAGACTTTTGCTGGCTAGGGTATTCTGGTGGTTATAGTCCAAAAGAGTAACTTTCCCTCATCCATCAGTTTTGAAATGAACGCATACTGTGTAGTTATGTTCCATCTATACCTAAAAACATTTCATGCCATTCCAGATGCTGAAGAGAAAGACTAATGTGTTATAGAATATTTCCTTTACACTACTTTTCTGTAACCAAAGACATTTGTTTGTTCAAGCACCTCTGCTGCAGCTTATTACAAATTACTTGTGCAAAGTAATACCGACAAAGCCTTTAGCTTCTGAGGGTTACTTTATGGATCAAGTGTGCTGTGGTATACAGATGCTACAGTGCATGAAAAAACAATGATTCAGATTAATCCGTTCTCCTTGCAGAATAAAACATATCTTCCAAAGACACACACTGCTGAACAGACTTTGGTCTAAAAGAGAAAAATGTGAAGCATGCTGTAATTACACCCCTAGGGTCTTTCTAATTTCAGTGTCCTACCCTCTGTGTCTGCTGGAGGAGTATCTTATCTCTGTGCATTTTTCACTTGAACAAAAACAGCATTTTGTCTAGTCCTGAGTAAGTTACTGAATATCACATAAGGGAATGCATTTTGGACACAATTTGAATCAGAGCTTTTTCAGACTATATCTTCCAGAACCTTGCAGCTAGAAAGACCATTAGTCATGTTGGCATTTGGAAGTTATAGTCCAAATACTAACTTTTCTGAGAAATGAGTTGAATAATATGGGATCTAAAACTATTGTCAATTATTCACCAGAAAGTTTTATTAGAATAGTATCAAAAACTGAAAACAACTTGATGCTTCATAAATACGAAAGGAAAAAATAGCTATCACTCACCACAATATTGCTGATGGGAATACAGTGGACCCTCGACTTACAGACGGCTCGACTTACAGAATTTTCGAGTTACGGACTTCTCTGGCCGTAAAATTTAGATTCGACTTGCAGCCGGAGAATCGACTTACAGACCAGAAACAAACCAAAATGGAACAAAAATAGAATAAAAACTGCCAGTTATGGGATTAATCGGTTTTCAATGCATTGTAGGTCAATGGAGATTTGACCTACACACTTTTCGACTTGCAGCCACCGTTCCAATACGGATTAATTCTGTAAGTAGAAGGTCCACTGTAGATCCATCAGTGTAACTGGGAAAGGCAATTCCTCTTTTCTCTGTAACACCTTAAATATCTACTACATGGGGCAGAGAGGGGAGGAGAAAGTCCCACTGAAGATGTGAGGAGGGGGGAGTGGAACTTTCCTTCCCTCTGTTCCACTGATGGAACTCTTTCTGTAAGCAGAAAGCCACTGACACCATTGTGTCATACACACTAAAATTACACATTATTACTGATCATTATGAACTCAGTACATCATGTGACCTTTTACAGGACTGTGATAAACATGAAATTAAAAAAAAGAAAATTATCTCTACTTTTTCTTAAGAGTTATGACATGCAAATCAGACAAGAAGACAGCTCGGCTTTTAATGCATGATACACAATCTGTTAAGTCTTTTGAGTTGTCATGCTGTACACTATACATTCAATCTAGCATGCCACAACTTGACTGTGACTTTACAATGCAGGACTATTGTTACTGAAGACCTATCACACTGCAAGAATCTTACCTCTTTAGTATGGGTATGGAAGGAGACTGACATGTCCAAAAGTAGCTTCCTCTGTTCTACTCTTCTGACAAAATCCTGAATCCGCACTTCTAGATGCCGTGCTGCTTTGTAGATCTCTTCAGGGTCACACTCTCCAGTCTGAGCCAATTGCTCTGCAGCTTCCAGTAGCTTGTCAGCATTAGTATAGGTATTCTGCCAGTGAACAGAGCAGGAAACAAAGTGCAAGTCACATAATGCTGGCAATTACAGCACTATCACAAGTATTTACATTTTCAAAATCCAGGAATGGAATCCAGAATCATAACATGACAGAAGCTATTCCAGAGGATCGTCTTTGCAAAGAGAGCTAGCAAAAGCTCACATAGAACAATCTCCCAATAGGCATGAAATAGTTTCAGACTATGAAATAGTTTAAAACGTACACCTCCTCCAGATCTAGCCTGTTTGACAGCTCGGAACAGCTCAGCATATACTAATTTCTGTGAACTCTGGAATCTTTCAGAGCTGATGGAGGAACACAAAATTAAGCACTTCAGAGGCAGGGGTGGTCTCCTGGAGAATATTTCACAATACATTCAGTTATGAAGGAGTCCTAACAGCTAGCAGGTTACAACTTGCAAACCACATACCCTGAGAACACTGCTGCTAGACGAAATGTGTTGTTCTGTTACTGTGTACTGTTGAGGAAAGCACTCCATCTGTGAGATTCTAGCCTCATCCAGTATAGTACACAAACTCAGTTAGATCCTGTGGTGATCAACAGGATTTCACAACCCAATCCTTTTGTAGAAAATTCAAAAGGAAAAAAACGGCAGCACCAAAAAAAAAACAACCCCACCAGCTAATAACAATTCATTTTCTGTTTTTTCACGTGATGATGGATAATTAGAGTGAATCAAAATACATTCAGTTAAACATTTAACTCAGTTCTATATTTTCTATGAAGATTATTCAGTACATCTGGAAACAATATCCTATTATTCAAGAATATACTGCAGAGTATAAGTCAGCAGAAGAACTGTCAGTATTCAGGAACTAATATTATCATCAGAACACAATGGCTTTTTCTCCACAGTGAGTGGGGGGGCCCGGAACTACAATGGAAACAACCCTTCTAATCACATCCCACCTTCTTCTATATTGTGCATTGAAGAAATGGTGTTAACATTTACAAGCTGATGGCAGAAAGTTTTGCTGTCATTCTTATCAGGTTTCATGATATAATTGATTATACTGTACTATGCCATCTGTATGATTACCTGACAAAGCCTAAACTTTAAAAGGGAACTATTAAAAGTGTAAAGAAACAGAGCCCTGCTTTGCATTCATGTATTGGTTGCTGTTTTCTCTTTTAATATTTCACAGGGGGATGAGAGGACAATCATGGAACAGCCATGGTGGATATGGTTCATTCCTTTACCAGGGAGAGTTAACTTTGGCACAGTCAAATGACAAATCTTTTTCAGATTGGGTCATGGGGTATCTTGTGGTCTGCAGGATTCCTAAGTACGAAGACTGCTACACGTGTCCTCAGTCACTTTTCAATGCATCTAGGGGTTGTAACATGACGCTGAACACTATATGCATGCAATACCATGATTCTTCAATATTTGGTGGCTCACAGCTGAATGCATAATTAATTGCACTGAAGTGCATGAGATGTTGTGATATAATAAGAACATTCTGTCCATTTTCCTATAATGGCTTATCTTCCATGCAAGTCATCACTTGAAAAACATAGTCAATGTGGATTCACAGCAGGTAAAAAGGACTCAGAGCAACTCAAGGTCATAACAGGCAAGACAGGATTTGTCAAGACTGCACAGGTGCTGGCTGGAATACTTTGCTACAAAGAACACTTTTACACAAGAAAAAGGTAAAGCTAAAGGTTCCCCTTGACAATTTTTCCAGTTGCATCCGACTCTAGGGGGCGGTGCTCGTCCCCGTTTCCAGGCCATAGAGCCAATGTTTGTCCAAAGACAATCTTCTGTGGTCACATGGCCAGTGTGACTTAGACATGGAATGCTGTTACCTTCCCACCGAAGTGACCCCTATTTATCTAGTCATATTTGCATGCTTTCGAACCACTAGTTGGCGGGAGCTGGGACAAGCCACGGGCGCTCACTCGGTCACGTGGATTCGCTCTTACAGCTGAAGATCTACAGACCTTACAGCACAGAGGCTTCTGTGGTTTAACCCGCAGTGCCACCATGTCCTTCTTTACACAAGAAAATGTAGTAGCAAAATTATACAATTGTCAAGTTGGAAGGGTTGGATGTCCAGCTTTTTGTCAATGCAGAAACCCATAGTTAAAGCATCCTTCACCGATGCTTTAGCATAGGTGTTTATCTCTGTTTCAAAACCTGCAGAGCACCATCTTCTGAGGTCGTCCATTCCACTGTCAAAGTCAGGAAGTGCTTTCTAACAATTAACAAGAATTTTCTTCCTTGTAATTTGAATCCACTGGTTCAGGTCCTGCCCTCTTGAACAACAGAAAACAAGTTTCCTTCAGATATGTGAAGATGGTTATTGTACCATCTCTGAAGTCTTTTCTTCTGGCTAAACACAGTCTTGTCCTTCAACTTATCCTCACAGAACTTGGTTTCTAGACCCTTTACCATCTTGGACATCCTTCTATGGATGCATTCCAGGCTGTCAATAACTTCCTTAAAATGGTGTCCTGAACTGGCATAGTACTCCAAATGAGATCTGACCAAGGCTAAATAGAGCAATACTATTATTACACTTTTTGATCTGGATGCTATACTTCTGTCCATGCAGCCTGGAATTGGATGTGTTTTTTGTGCCATTACACCATACCACTGAATCCTATTTAGCATGTCATCTACTAGGATCCCTACATCCTTTCCACTTGTACCACAATCAAGCTATAGTTACCCATCCTATATCGTCCATATTGTGCATGAGACCAATGACCCATGGAGGGTCACATCTTCACAGTGGAAGTTTAGGAAAAGGAGCCAAATGCTCCCTCTGAAGTGAAGCAACCTATAACCCATCTAAATTTGAAATCTTGGGATGATACAAAGCCATGAGACCAGGAGACATGGCACCGGACTGGCCACTGTTAGGAACAGAATGCTGATCTTTTGGCCTGATCCATCAAGACAATCCTCAGGTTTTCAACAACTTCCTTCACAACACTGCTCCATAGTTTCCAACATTCAAAATGAAAGTATCAAAATTGGCTCATGGATTTTTGGCATGTTATGTATAGACGATATGCACATGCTCTTCCATCGAATCTGAAACCCTGAGTTTCTCAATATGACATCCCCTTCCTTATAAAGGGACGTATTTTGAAACAAGCTAGGGTTCTCTTCATACCCCAGAGACAGAGATGTACACTGGCTCCCTAGAAGAGCATTTGAGCTCCTTGTTCCATGCCAAAAGGACTAGGAAACCTTTAGTCTATCCTTTTTTAGTCAGTAGAGTGCCTGACATGAAAACTGAAGCATTTTAAAAAGCCACAGAGAAGCAGGAGAGATGGAGTTTGTCTCTCTCTCTCTCTCTCTCTCTCTCTCTCTCTCTCTCTCTCTCTCTCTCTCTCTCTCTCTCTCTCTCTCTCTCTCTCTCTCTCTCTCTCTCTCTCTCTCTCTCTCTCTCTCTCTCTCTGTGTGTGTGTGTGTGTGTGTGTGTGTGTGCGCGCGCGCGCACACACACACTGGGTGTTCTTCTCTGCTATTCTCATCTTATGCATATCACTCCGTGAAATTAGATAAAAAGCATGCAGAAGTTAACCAAAAGATATGCTTCAGTTTGTCATGGAACACGATCTCGCTATATTGTTTACTGCTGACAGATGCAGGTGGGGGTGCGGTAATAAAGCCTTTGCTTTGGTGACCAATATAAATGGGGTCATCCAATTTATAACAACTCCTTCCTACAAGGACTCTAAGATACTTGTTGCTAATGGGAGTTAGAAAAGATTCTCCTACAAAAACCCAATTTTTAAAAAATCAAATGTTAGTGGTTTACAAGTGGAAATAAGGGTTGAATGTATATCTCATGACTAAGAAGAAAGAGGAACAAACATTCAGCTTGAAATGAAAAAGCCAAATAATAAAGAGAACACATCTATCAAAGGCAAAATGAAATGCAGTGCATTGAAAATGGATACTATATAGCCACTGGAGTCTCCAACCCATTATTGGTTTTCCTCTACCATCTTTTCAAATGCAGTGCATTGAAAATGGTTATACAGCCACTGTAGTCTCCACCCCATTATTGGTTTTCCTCTACCATCTTTTGTATATATATCATATTGTTTTATTTTGGAATTTTTTTCTGTATCATAATTGTGCCATTAATTGATATTGTCTATGGAATAAAATAATTTGTGAAGGTATTGTGTAAATGTTGTTTGATCACTGAAAATGATCACAGCATGGGCATGTTAAACAAAAATATATTTAAATATAACAGTTAATATCAGTCTGAAATGCCCATTTGTACACATGGATTTTGTAAATTATTCCATTTTCTTGTCAGTGGGTTTTTATTTTTATTTTATTTTCAAAAACAAAAGTAGAGAGAACAAAACATCTAATTAACATCTACTAAAGAAATATCTAAATACACAATAACCACCACCACCACCCCCTGTCACCAGAACCATTTGGGGTATAACCACCAATTCCATTTACCCCTGTGGAACCCCATCTTCCTTTTAGAATTGCATTGACTCTTAGTAAATTGGGCTTTGTCCCTTCCCCTTTATTCAGAATTGCATTGACTCTTAAATTGGGCTTTGTCCCTTCCCCTTTATTAATACAAAATTGGTATATTATATTATCCCCATATATCTATGAATACACACAATCTGGTTTTTTGATGACATTAAATAAGAAATTTACAGAACAGTCAAACTGTGATTTCTTAAATCTCTACATTTTTATTTCCCATTCTGGGAGCAAACGCTAAGAACCATAATTTGGTTTTTTTCTGGTCTGTAAGTCAATTCTCAGGCTGCAAGTCAAACCTAAATTTTGCGGCCAGAGAAGTCTGTAACTCAAAAAGTCTGTAAGTCAAGCCGTCTGTAAGTCAAGGGTCCACTGTATATCTATGAACACACACAATCTGGTTTTTTGATGACATTAAATAAGAAATTTACAGAACAGTCAAACTGTGATTTCTTAAATCTCTATATTTTTATTTCCCATTCTGGGAGCAAACGCTAAGAACCATAATGCAGTGCCTCTATCAACACTTTCACATTTCATCTCATTTTTAGTGACTCACAAGACTAGAAAAGCCTTGCTTAATTTCATGTATAGCCACATTTCTTTCTCCCTGAAATACATGTCAAGGATTTTTAATGGTTTCAATTAGCAAGTGCTGAATTTAAATAATTGCCATCACACATCCATCTATCCTATATGCAGATCATTTCATACATTGCTGCTGGAAGATGAAGAAAGATTTGGAAATGCAAAGTTAGCAGGTAACATGAAACAGATCGTTTTAAATCTTACTAGCAATAAAATTGGTAAGGTGTTTAAACCTTAAAAGGGCAGAGGCATTTGAAGAAAATGCCGTGGTTTCCAATGGCTACCCTTTAGTATTTAAACTAGAATGTTTACAATCTAGATTTAGAAGATGGCAAACCTTTCAAAGAGGCAGAAGGCCCTCCTAATGCACAAAGAGTGCCACCTATAGGATGAAAAACTCAAATTGTAATTTCCATCTTTTCCGCCCATTTTGCAGTCTGCATTCCTGTTGTCCTAGGTGAAAGACATAACCACATGAGCTATAAAGAACTCTTCTCTCCCAGTCTTTAATGGCTTTACCAATATTATCTACAGACTGGACCTAAGTTCTTCTGCGTAACTGACAGGGCTTGGCTATGGGGAAATTTCCAAAGAAAGTCAGAAACTGGGAAGCAAGAATCAAGAAGACCCAAAATAATCAGGATCAGATGGCCAACCAGAAGGCAGGACTAGAGAGTGAACCAGGAGTCATTAGGACCATAGAGCAATATGTACTTATATTTTACAATCAGAGATAGAAGAATTTTTAAAGAATTATCACACATGCTGAATGGTGTATATGTGCATGCAACAACCTCCTCCTTAATTGGTAGCCTTGTGTATATTATTTTCTATAGTCCCTTTCTTTCCCTGTATGTAACTTTGAAACCGAGCAGGAGAGTAAGTGTGAACTACACAAGAGATCACCATTGAGTGGCCAGTGTATGAACAGGATTTTCACCCCAAACAACAAAATAAAATATATCCAACACAAAATAGAAATCTTCAAAAGAATTCAAGTCTGACAAGGTCTGGTTTCTACAGTTTGCTTCTACTGTTATACTTTCCCAAAGCACTGTGTGCTATTTTCACAAGCCTTTAATCTTTCAATACATCTTGGATATCTGTTTATGTCCTGATGTGCCACACAGCATTCTGAGGCTTCATTTAAACCTCAATAAATTAGTAAGATGATTCTGGTATAAATCTATCCAGAGACAAGAGATATATCAAGCTGCTGCAAATGTCAGTGTGGAATTTAGTAATTAACTCAAGTAGAATAGGAGTCCTGCTTCAGATCAGTATGTAGCATTCTGAATCAACAAAGCAAAATATTAAAAATCAAATATCTGAGTAGAGAGATAATGCAAAAACATCTTCCACCAAGACGTGTGACATCTATTGGGTAGGGTTTTGTAATTCCAAACCTCAGCTTTAAAAGTATCTTGCCATGTAGAAAAGTGAGACAGTGATTTCCCCTAGTTTCCTCTTCCCTGGCATGTCAAATTGGATGACATCAATCAGAAGAGCAAGAATTCCATTCTGTTCCCAATATTCTGCCCTTCCACAGTGAACCCTACCAGCCAACAAACTGTGTTGCTGGTGTCCCAAGAGACAGTTTAAGAGACTGAGACTACTGGCTAAAAATATTCAGGAGGGGAACCTAAAGGTTTATGAACTGCCTGGGTACAGGGTAAAGTGAAAGTAATCTCACCCCTGTTGACCTGTAACTGACTCAGTAGACTGAGCCCTGACAATCTGTACTTGGGTGAGAAGTGGGCAACTGATGAAAAAAAGAGTCTGGTTCTGGGATTTTGCCCTGCTTGGTGTCTCTTTGTGAATGGTAGTAAGCACAAGAGGATCTTCTCAATGGGGACCATATGGCACATTTGAAGGGGACCACAGACGGGGAAAGGACTCTTCACACACCACCTCGTACGTTCATTATGTGATGTATACAATCCTGATTTAGCCTAGATTTCTTTCATATTGTGTTTATGGCTGTCACAAAAAAAAAGATTGAGAATGGTTGATCTCTGACAATGGTGTCCTCAACATTCTATGTTGAGCTATGTAAAGTTTGGTATCTTTTTTCTTTTTGGCAATGTGGGCACAAAATTGTGCAGCAATACTGGGCCATTTCCTGGTGTTTTGAATCATGAATACAGAAGCATAATATCCCACATTCATAAACTGGAGCATGTTTTTTGTTGTGTTTTGAAGAACTGAATACTCTCTTTATTTGGCTCACCTACACATGGTTTAGGTCAGGTCATTACTACTAGAAGTCTATGCACTCAGGACATGGTTTTAAAAAACAGAATGTGACTCTTCCACATCACATACACTCAGCAATATAGCCATCAGTAACAATAAACAATGATGAAACTGAGACTGTCATACTCTGGCTACATCATGAGAAGACAGGAGTCGCTGAAAGAAGTTGAAGGTGGTAGGAAAGAAGGAGACCAAATATGAGATGGATTGACTTCATAACAGAAGGTGCAGCTTTGAATTTGCAAGAGCTGATCAGGACTGTTAATGATGGGACGTTTTGGAGGTCACCAATTCATTGGGTTGTCATCAATCAGAGGTGACTTGAGAATGCATGAGAATAAGAACAAGAACCACCACTACCTAACAAAAGTACACATTTATGTATTTGTTGACACAGACCAGTGTATGAAAAACTAGTTAGTGTTAAAGGTGCCACAAGACTTCCCGGTTCATTTATGCATTTGACTAACGAGATATCTGTAATATGGCAGCAAATGATAATGAGATTATTTTTATACTCCCACTACCTCAGAGACATCCAGAGAAACAGGGGAAACAACAAAATTCCTCTCATCACATCACAGGACAACAAAGAGAAGGAAGGGCTTATATGTACAGTGATTACCTCCCAAAAACTTTTAAATGTGCTCACAGGAGGATTGATGTTCCTCTACAGGTGAATACTTCCCCTGCAACAGAGTTCATATTTCCTCTCTGGAGTATGAGCAGAGAGAAGATTGTCCATTGAATCCAAGAAAAGAAAGAGGAACTTTTCTCCAATCCATGTAGCCCCAAACGCTGAGCCAGAAACACTCTTGGGAACCCATAGCATTGTGTACCTCTGCTATACACCAAATGGATTATCACCTGGCAAATGATGATGTGTTATCCCACCCAGTACTGACTGAACCTTTATTTCATAATCTGCTATTCCACTGACCAGGAACAACTCTTCCCTGCCAGTTAAAGCCAGTGGACCTTGGAAAGATGACAGGGGAGAGAATTAGGGATGCTTCCATAATTAAAAATGAGCCCAAAGGAATTCAATATGTATATTATGGGAAGCATCAATTAAGGAGAAATGTATTTGTATCTACTTGTGGCTGTAAATGCCAATAAAGAGATGAATTAATTATGATACTAAAATGTACTGTATAAACAAGGGCAACAGAAAAATATTAAAAAGACAGCAATCTCCTCAGGCTAGGGCAATAAGAACAGCAGACTATTGCAATCCTTCAGGTCATTATATTTTATGTGTTGACCTTCAGAGATATATCATGGTACGTGTGAGGATGACAAGCCTACCATAAAGAGATAAAGATTCTCATCCATTTTATGAAACTGGGTCAGAATTAGGATGGCTACTCATTGATGCTATGTTAACAAAATACAAAATGGGATTCTTTAGCATATTGATGATGGCCACCAGAAATAATATAACAAAAGCATAACAGAAGCAAAAGTACTATGGCAACTTTAAGACTAACCCATTTATTTCAATGTGAGCTTTCTGAAGAAGTGGATGGCAACCCATAAAAGCTCACATTGAAATAAATTTCTTAGTCATAAAAGTGTGACAATACTTTTGTTTTTCTTTTCATTCTGCTTTTTTGTTGCTGAAATAGACTTACACAGCTACCTCTTTGAAACACATCAGAAAGCTCCAGATCATCTCATTTAATCTAATATCAGCAACTTTATTATTAATATGGGCAATCATAATGATCCCTTTGGAACTCCATATTGTGGGGCTAACCATGGGGCTGACCTTCTAGGTAAGAGCAGAGAGAAAAACCATCAGACCTGACATCAGATGCACCAAACAATGAAAGATAATGGTGTATTCTGCAGTCTCAAATATTTCTTAGTGGGGTTCACGAAGAACAACAAAGTGTTTTCTTTGTCATACTCTAGAGGCAGCCTATGTAACAAGGCTGAGAAAGTTACCGTTGTATTATTCTGCCTTACCTCCAGAATTTAAATGTATTTTTCACATTTTTAAAAGAACATATGGCTTATTTTTTAAAAAGATATTGGTCATATATTGGATTTATTTCTGTTTCCATATCACTTTAACAGTTTTTGGTAGACAGAAGAGCAATACATAAATACTTTTAATAATATTAAACAATAAAACAAAGCATCTGTAGGTGAATGCCAAAATCTAAAGGATAGCCATGGAGGTGTCAACTAAGAACATCTGAAATTGACCTGCCACCATCTGCTTCACCTTCTCCATTTCCTCGTGTCTTCAGTGTACTGCACACTTTGCCCTCACAGTATGCGCAGATCTTTCGCTCTCTTACCTGTGCTACTTCTTCAAAATCATCGTGCCTTTTTTGAAGAGCTCGTGCCCTATGAAGGGATTTTCCCACTCCTGTATGTTTACTAAGAAAAGCCTCCCCATGGTTTTCAATCCAGTCCAGCACCTAGACAAAAAAGAGAGGGGGGAATCCAATTATCTTCTATGGCTATTCAACACAAAGCATCATCCAATTATCTGCCAGTATCACTTCAAAACAACATCATTCCATATAAGTGGATTCAACAAGCTGAGGAGTTTATCTCTGCTAACATTCAACACTGTTCAGAGCCAAATCGCATCAGATCCAAACTAAAATGTCCTTGACTGTTTCCTGATAAATTGCTATTATTGAATAGCTGTTGTCTGTTCATTTCTGACATATAAATCACACATTTCTTGATAACCACCAGAAAATTTATAGCAGAAATGCTGGCTGTGCTCTGAAATGTTGTGATTTTTAAAAAGTAAAGGAACTTTAAAAGGAAAATTTTCCTCAGGGGGAGACATTTACCTCTATCGTGTTTCTTGTCTGTACATATCACTGAGAAAAACAGATCCCTGTCTCAGATGTACAAAGATTCACTTCACATAAACTATCCCAGACAAAATACCTAAAATAAATCTGAAGTAGGTAGAAAAGGATCAATTTAAATAGAGGATTTTGGAAGTGAGATAGATGAAGATGGTATTTGGATATCTAATGTGAAAAGTCTGAGGGGCCTAAGCTATATAACATAAGACATCAGCCTTTCATGTGTCATCAGATTCTAATCCATCCACCGTAACTGATCCCAATGAAAGCAAAGTTGCAAACCTAATATTCAGTGGGTTTAAAACATTATCATTCTGTAAACAGCCATCCTACAGCTATCTAGCAGAAAAAGCATTTGTCCATTCAAAGCACACTTCCATTATTATTATTATATCCATGTGTCTAAAAATTTAACACAGATCTGACGGTAAACTCGAAATGAGCACACTTGTCAATCTCTCGCGCCTGCGCCTCTCTCAAGGATCAATTTTATATCAGACCATTTTAACAAGTATACATGTATCACACACATCTCTTGAAAAAGTTCACAAAAATCACAAGAGACTTTACAAGCATACACAAGGAAGGATTTTGCCCCCTCCCTTGAAAAAATCCTTCCTTTACAAAGATAATTTCCCCACCACCACCACCACCACCACCTCTTTTCTGAAGCAGGGGTGCTATTTAGGGAATACTAACAGATGGCATGAAAATCAAGTGTTATTTTTACCTGCTGTAATCTTTTGAATGTAACTTACTCCACCCTGGTCGCCCACCTTCTTTCTTATGCCGTCCCAAGTATTCATACAGAAGATGCTACTAGCAATACTAAGAGAATGTACGTGAATCTTTCTAAAGGAGAGTCCTCAAGCATTAGTAATGTTTACCGGTTCTTATGTTTTAAAGATTGTTTTTCAATTGCAGTTGTAATACTGATAAATATGTAATTGTTTTAAATATAGTTTTTAATGGCATTTTAAAATCTGTGAATATTGCATAGTTTTAATTTGAGCTGCCTTGGGTCCCCTATGGAAATATAGGTGGCATATCAATAACATAAACAAACACACAATAATAACTGAAAAATGGCAAACATTCTCTTTTTACATTGTTATATGTTCACTTCTTTCGGGTTAGTGTGATGCTGCTTTGACCCAAACAAGCTGTGAGCCCCACTGACTCCTTGTGGATTAGTCAAGTTCCCTTCTCCCACTCTAAGATCCATGAATGAGGCTGGAGAACTCATCAGCACAACAGGATTGATTGAACTTGGGGAACAATGAACAATCTTAACAAGTTCTAAGAAGTTTGAGCTACCTCCTCTCACCGCTGTGTCACAAAGTCCGGTTTCTCCTTCCTCAGGGTTCCCCATCCCACCAGCCACCCTAGACGATGAGAGTTTCACTCCAGAGTCTCTCCTTGAGGGTTGGTACAAGGGGTGGCGCAACAGGGAGGGCTTATAACACCTCACTGAGAGCACACTTGTCAATCTCTCACGCCTGCTCCTCCTCTCTCAAGGATCCTGAGTTGACAATGCTGAGTTATCTACTTTGACTTTTGCTAGGGCTTAGCTTGACATGCTATCAGCTTCCTAGGCAATCCCTCCTAGGCTTGACAACATCTTTCTCTCTTCTCCCTCTCTTCCCAGCATGATGGCTTGGAGGGTGGTTGTGGCTTAACATCAACTCTTCCTGGGGAACCCTCAGCTGAACTAATACTTCAAACCATGGGCCTTCTTCAAATACAGTACATACTCCCAGTACCTGGGAGGTTCAGGTTCTCCTGGACTCTCAATGTCCTGCTTGTACAACTCTGCCATGGAACCTGTACGGCATCATCCCATCTTTCCTCTTCTTAACTCTAGTCTGGACAGACCTATTTATTTTGTCCCTTTTTCCTTCTGTTGGTTCCCACCCCACCCCCTCATGGCCTCTAATCCCTCTCCCCGCTTCTCCCTGGGGAAATCACAATCTACTGTAGCCTCTCCCAGGTTTAGTGGAGAAATCATAGTGGGAAATTCAACAGGTTTTGGGGAAAGATGGGATGGCCCACTAACAGGGGCCTGTGGGCCTCTGTCTCCGTCCTCACACAAGCACTCATGGATTACAACAAATTAATTAAAAACCAAACAACAATATTGGTATCCAAAATTTTAAATGCCGAAGTGCATTATTAATATTGAAGCAAATACATCAGTCACCTATTTCAAAATTTATTTAGAAGTCAATGCTTGTAATTGTCAGAATACTGTGAAATTAAGTGATTCTCACAACTGAAAAGTCCCTATTGTACTTGTCACCCTCATCTTGGATGAGAGAAGGCATTATCTCATCCAATGACCTAAGCATAGAAGAAAGCATGTTCAGGGGAAGGCACTTGGTTAAAGGAATAACCCCTTTAAAATGTGAAATGGTGCAGCTCAGGTATTGAAGCTATCCCATTACTTGGTTTAGTATTTAAACAATTGTCCAATTTGCCATGCTTGGATGCATTCCAGATTAAGTAATATTTCCCCACCACAGGTGTCTCTCGTTGAAAGCACAATGTGAGTTTAAGGGCTAAATCCAAACATGCAGAATGTTTGAAATGGACAAGAAAGAAAAAGAAGAAGAAAAAAAGAAGAAAAACTCTGAGTACTAAGGAACTAGAAGAAATAGTTTTCCAAGGAGGCAAAAAATGTCAGGCACTCTGAAAATGACATCTCCCCAGGTCTATCAGCTTGGCTGTCTTCCTAAGAAGGAATCACTTGGAAGAGGGATGAAGGAAAGGAAGAAGCAGAAAGAGCTTTTTCTTAATAAAATTCTCAGCTGATTTATACATAGCCTCCTGTATTTGCAAGGAAATCAGAAGTACTTGTCCCATAGATGGCATATGACTCCAACAAAACTTTCTAAAATGTATGAAAAAGTTTCTAACAAGTGTTGGAAATGTAAAGTACAGGAGGGTACTTTCTATGTTTGGTGGACATGTAGGGAAGCAAAAAGTTACTGGAGTATGAATACATGAAGCTTTGGAAAAAATTGTGTGATACTATTTAAACCGGAATTGTTTTTATTGAATATTATGTCTGAGATTGTAGATAAAGAAATGAGACAGCTGCAGCTAGGATACTATATGGGAAATAGTGGAAGAAAGCAGAAATACCGTCCCTAGAAGAGCTGACAGAAACAATACTGGAAGTCGCAAAGATAGATGTACAGTACTAATCGAAGCACTAAATGAAAGGTCATCTAAAAAAGGACTCAAAAACTGGAAACGATTTGACAGCTGGACTTGAAATATGGCGGGAACGATTTGACAGCTGGACTTGAAATATGGATTGGAAAGCATATATAAAAGAAGAATGTGAAGGTTCAATTAGGGAATGGAGAGATTGGTAACTATACTGTAGCAATTCTGGTAAAACCTGTTAAGCTGTTCTTTTTTGTTATCTTCTACTTTTACTATAATTATTTAAGTGGATGTAAAAATACTCTCTTGCTCTCTGACATCTTACCTACAGTATTTGTTATCCATACCGTAAGCTCTAAATCCCCTCACTCTCAATCCTATCCCTTATTGAAAAGGAATAAAAATATAAAAAAGAAAAAAGAAGTATTTGTCCCAAAGCCAAGCATTTGGCCCTTTGCAAACACCCAGGCTTTGAGCAAGGAGGGCCTCATTCCCATTTTCTGCTCTTATCTAGGCAGATCTGTCACCTGGATTTATCTACTGCAAGGTCTCACTGGAAGAGTTGTCTGGGAAGAGGACAAAATCATCGAGGGTGCTGTGACCCTTCCTTGTGAAGTGTTGTAAAGCTACCTGCAATTTTTGTGAATATTTTCATGGGCTACACTTCCTATCAGCTGTAATCAACAATGCCAATGCTGAGGGATGATAGGAGCTAGAATTGAAAACATCTGAAAGGTGCGAAATTGAAAAAAAGCTGATCTTTCTTGTTAATGAAGTAAGTTTTACTTTGGAAAAAATCTTCTCCAGTTTTAATAAACATTGGTGTATTTTTTTATGGGAACAGTACAAGAATGCTTAGTCATTTTATTACATAGCTTACAGATGGAAAAAAGTTTAATATTTGATTTATTGGGGGTGAGATAATGTAAAGCTGCGGCACCTTTCAGTTGGTGAATAAATAAACATGATATGGGAGTTCTGAGGGAAATGTGCCACCCTAATTCTCCTCTTATGAAAAACTATCATATTGCTGAGATAAATATCCCAAAATATTTTTTCTTTAAGAATACACCAGGTAAAATCTTTTCCTTTGATATATCTTTGATCTAGTTTTTCTATCTGAATTGTAATAACATTGATAATTAAAGCGTTGCTGGCTAACTCTGATGTTATTGAATCTATTAATATTTTCCTTATCCCTTCCCCTCATAGATGAGACTTCACATTCTCTACTGTAATCCAATCTAAGCAAAACTAGAAGTTGAAAGAAAGGCCATGTTATCTGAAACTGGCATGAACTATTCAAGAACTCTAAATACAGTTTTTATAAAGGAAAAAAACTACATTTCTTTTCCCACTGTTAAGTTAAAATGTTACTGTGATACAACATTCAGAGCTTCTTTCTTTGTAGAAAGTGATAG